AGATAAATATATCAAGAAAAGAAAAGCTAACTGTTCACAATGCATAAGCAGAGTGTTGAAAAACTCCATTTGAGAGGTGCTCTCTTAATATTACACAGTATATATATTGTGAGATATTTTCAATTGCTCTGAGGATATTTATATGTATTTTAATGGCTGAGTTCCTAAATTCTATTTAAAAAAAAAAAAAAAAGACGTGCAGAAGTTTCTCTCATTTGGCTCTTTGTGAAATGCTTTGCACAGAAATCAACTTAGAAACTTGGATTACGTTCAGAGCCCTACCTGCATACAATCTGCAAAGCTATCAGCATTATTAAAAGTGTTGCTATTACCTTAACTCACTGGAAACACAATATAGAGTTTGTGAGACATCTTTAATGATGAAGGCCAGATTATGGTTAATAGTATTTAAAAAATATACTGCCCACATGCATTGAAACTGTAATCTTATACTGAAACATTAGAGCTTATCAAAGAAATGCAGGGACAATAACAATGAAAGAGGTTTGTTCCCTTCCCTAAACACTGCAAAAACATACATACCACCTTGGGATATTCAAATATTATGAATAGGGCTTGCAGCAGAGAGCAACTTCACAATATACAATTAAATATCAAACAGCATTTAAATCTAGTTAATTTTTTTTACTAGCAACAGCTTAGAAACATTCAATACATACGTATTACTCTTCCTCATATGCTCATCCCTTAACTTGCCTAGAATTACAACACTACTCCCATTTTCTCTCTACCAGATTACTGTTCTCATCTGCTGTTTCTCCATGTATTTGCATACAACTAAAAATGCCATGATCCTCATTTCCAAAGAACTGAGGCTCAAGACTGAAGTGAACATTTCTAGGTGTTGCTTCCTCTGTCAGCATGTTACTTCAATCTGCTACAGTCCTCTATATAAACTGCCCTGGTTTACTTCAAAGATGTGCTTAACCTTTTCATATTCCTAGTACAGCTATAAATGAATTCTTATGCTTGCATTACATGTACTCACACAAAGCAGACTGCATGTCTGCACTGACATTTACAATGCCTAGTGTTAGTTTTGGATGAGTTCTTCACCTGGAAGAATTTTTTTTTTTTTTTTTAATCCAAATGCCCCTCTGGATTGTGATTAGCATGGAAGAGACCAGGAAGTTCCTATTAAAATATATAAATATGTTAGCAAAACATTAATAAAATAAGGTATGATAAACCACAGAACAATGAGTTGAGGGTGTATTATCGCTGGATGCAATAAATTGCAACCGTTCCTTTAATTTGTGTAGGAATAATACATGTTAATATGACTGAATCTGCTATCACTATGGAAAGATTTGAAAGTTTATTTTCCCCCTGTGGAAACTCCATCATGTCATACTGCTAGACTTTCCATGGCATTATGAGGACAAATTTGGACCAGGGTATACTATACAGAGGTATTATCTTTAAAAAAAGAAAATAAAACCACATACACACAGCCCCCCACAGAAATACCCAACAACAAAGCCCTGAACCTAAAGTATAACCATACAGAATATTTTTCTTGTATTAGGACCCTCAGAAGCTTGAAAAACATTACTAAAAAGTGTACTTGCTGTTAGCTATTTTAATAACGTGAATAGCGTGCTGATTAGAAACATCTGTTAATGAGTTTTAAAACAAAAATTTCAGGCACATGGCCCAGAGAACAAGGTATCAGGAAAGCAAAGAATGATCTGGCAGCATCACTCAGTTTGCTACCTAAGCAGTGACAGTACCATTAAAGATGATGTTGAACAATGGCATACCCTCTAACAGAAAAGTCACCAAAAGAAAAACAAGTAACCTGACATTAGAAACAACCCCATGCACCAGAACAGGCTGGGGGCCAGCCAGCTGGAGAGCAGCTTTGCAGAGAAGGACCTGGGAGTCCTGGTGGACAAGTTGAACAAGGGCCCAGCAACGTGCCCTCATGGCAAAAAAGGCCAATGGTAGCCTGGGCTGCAATAGGAAGAGGGCAGCCAGCAGGTCAAGGAAAGTGATCCTTTTCCTCTACTCAGCCCTGGTGAGGCCATGCCTGGAGTACTATGTCCAGTGCTAGGCTCCCCAGTACTGCTGGAGCGAGTCCAGTGAAAGGCCACAAAGATGATTAAGGAACTAGAGCATC